AGGCGATTGTATACCTTTACACAACTTGTTTAGAAGCATACGGACAAACTCTATGATGTCGAAATGTACTGTTTTAAACTGACAGGGACTCTAATCATGACCAAAAGGCTCTGAAATTGGATTTTTACTCCAATTTTTTATCGTTTTCGCAACATTGACATGTCAGGGTGATTTTGATGGACTAACTTAACTCGAACTCCTTTGCCAGAGTAGTCATGATAATCTCCTGCCTCGGAACGTAGACTTGACACATTAATAATTTCATTACGATTGGGTTTAGCCCTTCTAAGAACGAAACTACAATTCTTCTACGATGCCGACTAAGAAGTCCACAAAATTTTCTGGAATGTACCAAGTCACTGGCTGGAGACTATCACGACTACTATGACAGGGGACTTTGGGTAAAAGGCGTTCATGTGAGTCGCCTTGACGAGGCCACCAAGTTGCGCTAATGAGATTAGATATCTTCTTATGCCAGCATCAATCATGATGTAGGCCTCCCGAAGATGTGGTTATATGAAGGGTGTGATGAGATTGTGTGAAACAAGTGTGCAGAGGGTGCACGAGCTGTGTGAATTGGGACTTTGTGGGTTTCGGCTCGGTCAAACTGACGTCTTGAGGCCGGATTGAAATTGTTGTGACCAGACGGACGAACAAACGACAGAAAGGCAAGCTAACAAATGGTGTGTTTGTCCTTCTGCTCTGTCACTTTGTAGCCGGCTCGACTGCCTTCTGGGGTCGAGCAGCTCCGTGGTCGCGCGGCCGACCGGCCAACCAGGGCCCATTTGCACTCGGCCTGCATCACCTTCCGGGCACCACCGGCGGTTGGGCGTCTTCGTGGAAGAAGAGGCGGTTGCAAGCTTCCAGTTCCGGCCTCTGGCAGCATCCGAAGCCGGCTCGAGGCCGTCCGAAGAACCGATTCCGCCGGCCGCTCGTCTCCTCCTCCTCGGCTCGAACGGCGGCGCTTCCGGCGCCAAGGTCGGTCGGACAGAAGTGTCCGAGGCGCCGCCCCGGATAGGCTCGAGACAAACTGTCTTAGGCCGGATCGGTTGTTCGAGTTCGGTCAGAGGCCTGAACAGGAGCCACTCGGAGACGGGATCTTCTTCGATCCCCCTCGCAACCGGCCACTTTGCCGCCGCCGAATCTGCCCTGACCCTGCCCCATTCGCCCCCGCTGGCCATCGACGGCCTGGCGGACGAGCCTCTGATTGCCGGCAACCCGATCCTGATGACCTTGCCTCCGACGGACGCCATCTCGCCGGTACCGCCAGTTCGCACGACCTCTTTGCAACGGTCGCCGTCGCCGTCTCTGCTCTCCACAGACGCATCGGCTGTTGACTACGGCGGGCCCGAGGTGGGCGACAGTCCGGACTCAGTCGACGCCGCGGATGACAAAGCGTCGCATTCTCGGCCTGAAAGTGTAAGTCCACTTGGTTACGGAGAAACTATGCCCTTAACAAAATGACGCTGGCATACTTTTCGGTTTGCTTGAAGCGGCGAGGGCAAGGGATTCATAACAGACGATAGGAAATGTCTTTGCTGTTGGAACTGTAAATTGGCGCGAATAAATCCCCGTCCCACCGTTCTGTAATGTTGTCGGGGAATTATAATAAGCATTGTTGTCCTTGTCTGAGGATGTCCGTCACATGACGGACGAAAACTCACCACAGATTCATCGGAGTTGCGTGACATATTCGAGCACAGCTACAGTCACAGCTCCAAGACAGTCCTCCTTCGGCTTCCGGTGAGGCCTGGTTACGAATCACTTGCACTCGCTGCTTCAAACAAACTTACAAATATTTTTCGCATTTAATTATTGTTTCGAGACTACCAGTAAATCAGTGTAATGAGATGTATTCACCCAATTTCGTTTAAGATGATGAAGGACTAACAGAAGAATTTTCCCACAATGATATGAGTTGAGCTGATGTTTCCATTGAATTTCACAAAGCCTTGTTTTTCCAAAAGT